GAGATATGCTGATGATACAACTTTGTTTGCTGAAAGTGAGGATGACTTGAGGCACTTACTGATGAAGATTGAGGAACACAGTCTGCAGTATGGATTACATCTCAATATAAAGAAGACAAAAATCCTCACAACAATAAGCAGCATCATGATAAATGGAGAAAAGATTGAGGTTGTGAAAGAATTCACTTCACTTGGTTCTACAATGGAGGCCGATGGAAGCAGCAGTCAGGACATTAGACAATGTGTAGCACTGTGTAGGTCAGCTCCGAAGGAATTCTTTCAAGTGCTGAGGAGCAAGCATGTCTCCTTGAGGATTAAGGTGCACTTGACACAGCCCATGATATTTCCAATCACCTCATATGCATATGAGAGCTGGACAATGAATAAGGAAGACCGAAGAAGAGTTGATGCTTTTGAGTTGTGGGGCTGGTGAAGAATGCTCAAAGTCCTATGGACTGCCAAAAGATCTAACAGATCTGTCCTGGAGGAAGTGCAGCTGAGATGTTCCTTGGAAGTGAGGATGGCCAGACTTCGTCTCACCTACTTTGGTCATGTTGTCAGAGGGGACCATTCCCTGGAGAAGGACATCATGCTTGGTAAGATGGAGGGTCGAAGAAAGAGGGGAAGACCTTCGATGAGATGTATTGACACGGTGACTGCGACAATGGGCTCAAGTATAGCAAGGATCATGGAGCTGGTGCGAGATCAGGCAGTGTTTCATTCTGCTGTGCATAGGGTTGCTATGAGTCGGAAGCAACTCGATGGCACCTAACAATAACAACAACATACTGGCTATTGACTCTGATGAATGATGAATCCAGGATCACCAGGCTGAATAGTGGATAGTTCGCTCATGGACAGTTGTAGTCAGCACAACAGGATCCAGACCCACAGAAGAGTGCCTCATTTTCCCAGGATGTCCATAAATATATTGGAAGCAGGCCACCCCCCTGGAGAAACTCCCTTTCAATGGATTGGCTGCTCAAAACATATACATGTGATCTCATCATGAGAATAACCCACATCACAAGTGCTTAAACCACTCAGAATCATGGTCCAGCCAAGTTGACACACAACTTCAACTATCATAGGAGGGAAGTGGAGGGAAAATTGCTAGATAGATAAAAATGTATGCATATGTACCAAAGGTTATTAGTAGTCACCAGTGGGTAGGAGGGAAAGTGAAAGGGAAAGTTTGTGTTTGCAGGGCATTGAATTTATTCTAATGGTGGTGGAATATTTTGGAGAAGGATAACAGTAATGATGCCACAACATGAAAAATGTCATCAATGTCCCTGAGCTGTAAATGTGGAAATTGTTGTATTGGTGAATGTCTTGGTGTGTATGTTTTCACCACAATAAAAGCAAATTTTAAAAAACAAAAAAGAAGCCCAGAGATGGGTGGCTCCAGGGCTGATCAACTTAGCAGCTGAAAGATGTCAGAGCTCTTGTTTGACTGCTCTGCAGTTCTGTTGGTCATCTCCTCACAGTCACAGGATGGCTGTTGAAGCTCCAAACATCACATTCTCACATGATAATGTCCAAAGACAGGAAGAAGGGGCATTTCTTTTCTTGGGCCCCTTTTTATAAGGAATGAAATTTTGTCCAGGAGGCTCCTCAGAAGGTTTCATCTTGAGTTTCATTAGCTAAAATTGGGCTCCATGTCCCTGCCCTACCTGCAAAGGAGGCTGGGCTCATGAGTATCTGGTACTTCCCACTGGGTCATGGAAAGGTGACTCTGATAGGACTGCAAATGGCTGGGCATTGGGGAGTTCCCTAATAGGGTCAATCTGTGTGTCATCTTTGAGGGCCTCATAGTCAACTTACCTGTGCAGAGTAAAGAGTGGAAGAGTGTGGTCACATCCCCACACTCTCCTTCAGTGAGTTAGCCAAGGTCCCTCTTCCTTCTCAGTACCCATATCTCTCTCCCTGTCCACAGGTCAGAGGGCACACAGCTCCCAGTCTCACCACAAGCCAGCCCAGAGCCAGAAGTCAACAGTTGTGAACCTGAGGACAGTATGGCCAGAGATCCAAGCTGCCCTCCTGAGGGAGCAGCCTGGCAGTCAAGTAGCAGTTCTGGAAGCAGACACCTGGTTGAAGGTTGGTCTCTCACACCCAGGCTTACCACCCGGCTTATAGTCAATCAGATGTGGCCCCAACCTGCTCCCAGAGGCCTGTCTTCCCTAATGCAACTATCCAACTTCCATTAGAACCCTCCTCCACTATCTTCTTAGGCTGCTCTGAGCACATTGGTGCTCCTTTCTGACAGCAGTTGGTCAGTGGGGAGGGTGGGGCACCCCAACTGAAAATGTCAGGGAGACCAGTTCCAGTTAAGTCCCTGTCAGTTCTAAGCAGGGATGATGAGTTGGCTGCCCAGGGAGCTGGGGAAGAGGAAAGTCCCTGACATCAAAAGGGTTTAAACAGGGGCTGGATGATGATCCCTTAACACCACAGAGGAGGACTTCCAATAAGATGGAGGAATAGACAGACAAGTGAAACAGACCCTCTTCAACAAAGAAAAGAGAACCAATTGACAGAGATACAGAAGATAATCCTGGAGGCTTGAGCTTTGAAAGGAACTATATAGAAGTGGATTAGGCACCAACTAGTGGAAAAACCTGAATGAGAACACTGAGTACAGAGACAGTTGGAGCTGCGGACTGTCAGCTACTCTGACAGGACCAACACCCTGAATATTTCCAAATGGTGTTGGGACCTGACAATTGACCTAAAGATCAGCCTGGTGACCAAGGGCTGCAGGGATGACTATACTGGTGGCCTATAACTAGGAAGGGAAACAGCAAGGAAAGAGATCACCTGAGCTGTGGACTTTCAGCTGTCCGGAGGGTGCAGCCATTTTGATTGTTTACATGCAGCAGCCATTTTAGATATTTAAAGTGACTGAGGGTGCAGCCATTTTGAATGTTTTCATATACTAAGAAGAGCTCTAGTGGCATAGTGCCTAAGGCATTTGACTGCTAACCAGAAGGCTGGCGGTTCAAACCAACCAGCCACTCCTCAGAAGGAAGGGGGGGCAATCTACTTCTGTAGTGATACCGCCTCGGAAACCCAAGGAGGGGTCGCTATGAGTCGGGTCTGACTCAA